AATTTAATCCTTTAATTACAACTTATCATATGCTATTTATTTTATTTTGGTCTTTATTTTTTTATTTTATTTTTTTCTTGATCATTTTGTTAAAATTTTATTGTTTTTAATTTTATTTTTCAATCAAAGTTCATGTTATTTTGTTAAAATTTTATTGTTTTCAATTTTATTCTTCAATCAAAGTTCATGTTATTTTATGTTTTTCAATTTAATCCTTATTTTTTATATTTTTTTTCTTTTGCTAAAGTTATTTTTCATTTCAATTTAACCCCTCATTTGAAAAAGTTTGGTTGCCCTCTTATTTATTTTTTACTCTCATTTCTTTAATTAAATTATTTTAGATCTTTTTACGTGACTAAATTTTTTCATGATTCAACTTTTAATATTTTATTTATTGGATTTTGGGCTTTATGTTTTTTTATTAATTTATAATGCTTTTGTTATAATAACTTAGATGATGAATTTAAAAAGTTAATATAGTTTAATATTTATTTATTTATTTATTTTCTTTTACAATCTTATTGTTCTGCATTAATTTTTTTAAATTAATTTTATAATTATTTTTAATTATTTTTATAAATTTATACCAGTCTCGTAATTTAGATCATGAGTTTTGCTAAAAACATTTTAATAGAGATTTGTTTTTTGAAATTGTCTTCTTTGTATTTAATTTTTGGAGATATTATTCAAATTCATTTATAATTTCTTTTGTTTTATACAAATGAAATATATTTTTTAAATAAAAAATATTTATTAATTTTTTTTTAATATGTTTAATTTTGTGTAATATTTTTTTACTCAATTATTTTCATTCATGTTTCTATTTTTATTGTCTTTTATTGATTTAAATAAATAAATTTAATAAACACAAAGGGTAAATGCTTTATTTTATGGGATTAAATATTTTATTTACTTTTATCTCTTAATTTTTTTTAGTTATTACTAATAATTTATTTATTTATATAAATATGTATTAATTTATTTAATTAGATGTTTATATATAATTTTAATTTTACACTTCAATTTTTTTATATAATAAAACTTCAAAAATAGTCTACATTTCCGATATTGTTTTTGAAAAAATAATTTTATGATCCGCTGTGGAGAGGGTCAAATAACTAGTTTAGTATATAAGACTTGAGAGATTAATATTTAAATAAATATTTAATTTATATATATAAAATCCAAATTCTCTAAAAAGCGAAGTCTGAATTCAGAGGCGCGGCAGCAGCAACAATGGAGGAGAACCGCTGCAAGTTCTGGCTTCCCAAAAAGAACCGATTTTGTGCCAACTCCCCTCTAAACGATTCCCAGTAAGCTCACTCTCATCCTCCTCTCTCTTCTGTTTTTTTTTTTCCCCTCTTATGTCTGGCTTTTTAATGCGTTATATCTATTGAACTGGTCGTAAGGTTCTGCGGCAACCACAAACCGAGGTCCATTGAACAGTGGATTCCATGCCCCATCGACCCTTCTCAGTAATTTCCCATCTTTGATCTTTGCACTATCATTTCTTATTTATTTTGGGATTACATTTTTTTATGGCTTTTCTTGTTTTTGATAGTTCTGTTCTAAAAGAAAATCTTGAAAGCCATGTTAAGAGATGCCCTTTATTGAAACAAGCTCAATCCTTGTCTCTTCAACCATTTTATCAAAAGGGCATCAATGCTGGCAAAGAAGAAGAAGAAGAGGATTATGTTAGCTCTGAGATGAAGAAGAATGTTGTTTATAGCATGACTGTGACTCAATTTTGCAAACTTATTAACAAGATTGAATCTGTTCATGCTTCTACATGTAAGGATATCTGGGAATCATATAAAGTTCCAGAAGCTTGTAATATGTGGATTAAAAGAGAAGTAGACAGGTAAATATGTGATGTTAAGATGAAGATTGTTGTTTAATTTGATGATAATCGGTTGGTTTTGTAAAATCAGTTTCTTGTTGAGCAGGAAATTACCATTTCAAGAGAAACATGTAGCACAACAAGCGTCAATTCTTGGGAATTTGGAGGACTTTGGGGTGATAAAGAGTTCAGTAGGAAGTAAAGAGGCTGATAGTCAGGGGTTTTGTAGTGATGATAGCAATTTTGTTCACGCAGTCATTGAATTTGGAGCAGGGAGAGGGTACTTGACACAGATGCTGGCAGACTGTTATGGATTTGACAGAGTCTTTCTGGTTGAGCGCAAGTCGTACAAACTTAAGGTTAGTTGTGTTGAATTCTGCATTGCATTGTTTATGAGAAGGAATATCTACTGCAATAGAATGAAATTCAAGTTGGAGATGTTATGTACTCTTTCCGCCTTAATTAATCTGTAATTTATGTTTTGTTTGTGTTTATATGCTGTGGCTACTTCTAGGCTGATCGATCTTTGCGACAGAAGGAGAGCTTGATATTAGAGCGTTTGAGGATTGATAGTAAGGTTTTTCAGAATCCTGTTCTTTGGAATGGCATTTGCATTTGCATTTCCATATTTATATCTTTAGTTCTATCTCTCTCTCTTTCTCTAACTTAAGTCTGGAGCTGGTGCTAAACATAACCTCAAATACTCTCTCTTGCTGGAGCATTCAGTTAACCTCTTAAAAAGGACTTGGCATAGTTTTCATGCCTTTTTTTCCTCCCTCAGTCCTCCAAAGTTAAGATTAGATGCTGGCAGGTGGCTCAATTTTGGAGCTCTCTTGAGTGCATTGTTTTTCCTTGACTTTGCCTTCATAGTGTGCTTATGAGTGGTGATTTAAAGGGGCATAAACTAACAAATTATTGTTGCCTTTTATTGCTCTGTTTCTGTACTCTTCGAAGTTGCAGTTAAACAAGGTCTTGCAGTTTTCGGCATTATTTTATAGTGCATATTATATTAAGTCATAACTTCTAACATTCCATGCCACAGTATTAATTTTCTACAACTTTATAGTAAGCTTATTTCTCTCAACTAAGTGAATAAACAGGTTTGTCCCAGCTTCCAATACAGGGGTCAACTTAATAAATTTTACCATTTATTTCCTCTTAATTTTGGGTGATATCAACGGCAGTCTCAAGTAGTAACAACAGAATATTTATATTCATACATGATGTCTGTTCTTGTTTGCCCTTTGTTTTTCAGTTTGTAGGCATGCTTGCCCCCTGTAAGGTATAGGTGAAAAATTGGTATTAAGACTCCCTTCCATCTGATCTCTCTGCTAGAGAAAAAAGCTCTGCAAACTTTTGAGTTCTGACATTACCGAATTCCACCTTTTCAGTTGAGGACTTAAACTTGAATGCTGTTGAGTCTTTAAGGGGAATCCCTTATTTGGCTATTGGTAAACATCTCTGTGGGCCAGCAACTGGTGAGCAATATGTTTCAAAAGAACTTTTTCCCTGAACATTAGATAGGACCCTGAAGTAATTTTTTTGCATTTTATATCATTATTTCTCAGTTCTGGCAGATTGTTCCATTGAATATTTTCCTCCATTGTTTTGTTTTAATACCTGCGTTGCAGATTTGACACTGAGATGTTGCTTGTCTGAGCAATGTAATCAAGGCAGTGTGCAAGATTGCACGAGCAATGCTAACCTTAAAGGCCTTGCTATAGCAACATGCTGCCATCATCTTTGTCAGTGGAAACATTACACAAGTAATCAACACATCTTACCCTGCATATTCTTGAAGTGCAAGAACACGTATGCTCTTCTATTTACTAGTTTTCAATGTAACTTTTACTTCCTTGCAGACAGGAAGTTCATGTCCGATTTGGGGATCACCAAGGGACAATTTCATGCAATGACATGGTTTACCTCCTGGGCAGTAGATGCTGACCATGGTTCAGATCTTCCTGATATTACTGACTGCAGTTTGCAGTTACAATCCATGTAATCATTTGAACCTTTTTTTTTATGTTATATATATCCTTCTTTTTCCTATCTTCTGTTCACACAAATGGTTTTTTCATTCCTCTCTTCTGTTCACATATTTTAGTACTTTGGATCTTAATTTTTCTCAGTTATTACAGTGAGGAGAAACAATGCTTTGGGGACATACATGGGGTTGAAGATGTTGTGAGGAGTATGAAACCAGTTGAAAGGGCTGTGTTGGGTTTTAAGTGTAAGCAGATCATCGACGTAGGAAGGATGATGTGGGCAAAAGAACATGGATTAGACACACAGCTTGTGAAGTATGTCCCTTCAGGCATCTCTCCAGAAAACCATTTGTTGCTTGCCAGACATGCCAAGTGCTTGTAAGACTCACATCATTTACTTCAGATTTAGGCTGTAACCATTAAAATTTCTTGGCCATTATATGCATCACTATTTCCATCTAGATGGACGTGCTAAGGAATGTTATACAAATTTTTAACTGGTGCGACTAGAAGTTTACTTGGCTTTTATTGGCATCCGTGGTTCAAAGGGGCAGATAGCATTTGCCCATGTTATCTCCAGACTGAATCCATATTTGGCTGGGGATTGGAAATCTTCACGCGCATGATTTGCAGATCGTAAATTTAGATTCATATGAGGGGGATCTCTTTTCTTCTCTTCCATCATCTCCATTTTTCTTGCCTGATGCTTTAGTTTCGTATGCTCCTTGTTTGATTGGATGGACTGTGATTGCTGTTTGATATTAAGGTATGTGAGCTTGTTGGAATGTTTATGCGGGAGTATTTGCAAAGCACACTGTTTTTGAGCTGGCATATGCCGTTAAACATTATGAACCTTCGAGGCTCCACATCATTTGCTTGCTTGACCAGTACCAAATCCAGAGAGGATAGCCACTATGAAGAGTGAAAAACTCACCCTATCGTTTAGAAGTAGTGCAGAATATCTTCCGAAACCATCATTGTTGCATGAGAATTCCGAGAAAAGAAAACTACTTAGCAAAAGGAGAGGCAAGCATCGAATTCGCATCATCAGAAAATAATAAATAAGAGGGGTCGAGAGAATTGCCCGTGCTGATCTATGTTTCTATGGCGAGAGAAGCGTGACTATTTTCTAAATAAATAACTAATCTTCTCGCAAGCATGCAAAAGTGGAGATGCGGGGGATTGAACCCCCTGCCTCTGGCATGCAAAGCAAGCGCTCTACCATTTGAGCTACATAATGGGAGTTCTTCTAATTAAAACATAATAAATAATATAAACATTGCAGGTTACAAGTAGGGTCCCGTGAACACGCTTTTTGAAGAAGAACCGATTCCCAACTTTCTTCTCGGATGGTACTGATGTTTTTGGCAACCCGAATCTGTATATTTTTTAATATTATGGTAATTTTTATGGTTAAGTATAAAAATATATGTTTGATTAGTATAATTATGAAATGAATTTTTATATATAAAATAAATAAATAAAATAGGTTTTTATTAATAAAAAATAAGTTGTTTTATAAAATCAGGTTTCTATTTCATTTCTGCTCATGAAAAACCCGATCAGCCTTTCAAAAGCTGGTCCACTCTTTACTAAACCATTGTCGATCACATTCACTACCGTACTAGCAAATTTATACGTTTGACCCCTCACGGTGCTGTTTACTACAGTCCCGCAATTTCTCTCTCTGCCAATTTCATAGCTGTCGCATCTGATGGATCTCGCTCTTGGGGTGGTGAGTTCCATGACATGCACCCAGATATTGTTGTTTTTAAAGAATCCAACCCGAGTTCTCGGATTGTTGTGTCTGACCATGGTGGATGGCTCACTTGGTGTGGTGACTCCTCAATCTACTTTCACCGCCAAGCTGGTGATGGCTGGTGGAGCGTTTTCCAAGTTACTTTACCAGAAAATTTCGAAGATTCTGAGCTTCCAAAGGCTGCTCCTGTCCGGGTCACTCCACCAGGTGTCCACTGCTTCACTCCAGCTGCCTTTCAGGACGGCAAAAGAATAGCTGTCGCTACACTGCGGAAGGGTAATAGTTACAGGCACGTTGAGATTTTTGATGTTGAGTCAGACGTTTTATCCTGTCACTGCGTCGGTGAACCCGAGTTGGCATCCTTATAACCTGAGTTGTCTCTTCGGATTCTATGTTTCTTGGGCATCATCGGTTTAGAGGTGAGTCTACTCGGGGTAAGTCGGGAATTCCACATCTCGACCCCGTGTTGTCTCCGGTCAAGGATTTACGGTTGCTTAGATTAAACGGATCATTCCCCTTCATTGTCGAGAAGGCAACCTGGCTTATCAGGGGAAAAAAAGAGAGGATAAAATCAAGAAATTTACAAAAAAAAAAAAAAAAATCTTTTTTATTGAACTCTTTGCCTGTGTAAATTAAATTGTGTAAAAAAAAAATTAAAGTAATTTAGTTAATTTGGCGGATTATAAAGGAACTTGGTCAATCAAAAAAATTTAAGGAAAAAAGTGAGAAATAAAGCACGAAACTAACATAATAAAAAACTTTTGTTCAAGTCACTGTTCAGCTTGGAGTTAAAATTAAATAATAAGAGAGTTGGATTGATATGATTTTATTAATTTTATCAATTTAAAAATAACTTGAGTAATTGTTAAAAAAATATAAAAATTAAATTAAAAAATAAAAAAAAAATAAAGAAAAAAATAGGCCATATGCTTTATTGTGTATACTAGTTATGTGACTCGTACTCCACTGTAGATTAAATATTTTTATTTTTCATAAAAAATTATATATACAATTTTTTTCACTATATTATTGTAATTCAAAAAATTTAAGTGCAAATAAAAAAGTTTATATGTATATATAATCAAATAAACTGAAAACTATGAGCAGTGATAAATAAATAAAAAATTATTTAAAATTAGGATATTTTTTAGGGACAGATGTAGATCAAGATATTTAATATTGAAAGACGAGATATTTTCCCAATCATATTTCCTATTTTTTTATTAAAATATTTTTTTATTTAATCAAACAATAATAGAAATAGACAAACATTAAATTGATTGAATTAAAAAAAAATACACTAGGCTACACATATTATAAATATCATCTGAAAATAAATATTTTTTACTTTTAAAAATATATTTCATCTATACAAAAGAAAAAATAATAATAATCATAGATGAATAGGAAAACTTTCTTCAAAAATTAAACACAACCAAAAAATCTCTATCATTTAAAAGAGTCTTCTAAACAAAATAAAAGAAAGAAGGGGTATTAATATAAATATAATTAAGTTTTTTACAAAATAAAAAAAAAAGGGTAAGGCATTATTGGGCCTAGCAAGCCATTCCGGTCTGCTTGTCCCATTTCATCAAGGTCCACATAACCAAGCTCTTTTTTTAACTGCATCTAGGGTAGACAACATGTCGCCCACCTTATTTTTTTTAAAAGCAGACGACACATCATTTGTTTTACCAAGATTTAGGCCTTTACGGTGACCGAAAAATCAAGTATAAGTTTCTTTTTACTCAAAAACTTGTTTATAACAGAAAACACCTTAAAAATTATGATAAAATTATCAATGATCTCAAAAAACTCAAAAAACCACCCAAAAAACCAAACTTAACCCTAAACCAAAAATCAACTCGAGTTAAGATATGTTTTTTCACGAACTTTTAAGGAACAAAAACACCTAATATGAACTCCCCTCATCAAATGAAATAATTTGATACAAATATCGTTCACTTTGATGGTCTAAATCAATGTTAATGATATGTTTCTTTCTCCATTGCTGGAATTTGACAATCTGTCCCTCTCCTTGCTCAATCAAGGACCAACAAATAAAAAAAATAAAATTTTATACCAAAATAGAATTAAAGAAATATTGAGGGACTAAAATTATATAATTTACGTGATTATTTAAGTTGGAGTACCAAAGTGCATCTTTTTTTAAACTTATGGTACGCCGCTCATGTTTGCCATGTTTTTCATTTCGGCCCCCCCTTTTCCAATCACACCCTTTCATAATAATTAAAATTAATTGCTCTTTAATTAGGACTAAATCACCTAAAAAAAGTTTGAGAACCAAACTAAAAAAATATAAAATTTTACACACTCCATCCACAATAAAATATGAAAGGATGATTAGTGGAGGTAATGTACAATGACAACACCACACCATTTAGATTATAGGTAATGAGCAATACAAATAAGTGTCTTTATACCTAGTTGTTTTAGTATAAAAAAGGACCAATTAGTTGAGCTATAATAGAAATTTTTTTAGCAAAGTTATTAAACCTAAGCAATCTCATCGAATCAGTATGGTAATTTATTGACTGTGTTTTTATTTCGATCCCCTCTCTTCCAATCACACCCTTTCATAAAAATTCAAAATCAATTATTTTTTAATTAGGGCTAAATCATCCAAACAAAGTTTGAGGACCAAACTAAAAAATATAAAATTTTACACAATCCATTCACTATTAAATGTGAGATGATGAACAGTGGAGGCAATGTATAGTAAAAATATCATACCATTTAGATTATACGTAATGAGTAATACAAACAAGTACATTACTCCTAGTTGTTTTAATATAAAAAAGAACTAGCTAGTTAGCTATTATATAAATGTTTTTAACAATATTATTAAATTTAAGTAATTTCACCAAATCAGTATGGTAACCTATTTACTTAGTTTTTAAATTGGGTTTGATTTCAAAGTAAATTATGTGGGGGAATTGACCTAGTATGGCTAATCTGACTAAAGAGTGCACTAAGTTTTTGCTCTTTTATAAACAAAAAAAAATGAAAAAAAATAAAAAATAATGTTTGTTTAATGTTTTTTTTCTAAAAAAATATATTGAGATGATGATGTTTTGAATAAACTTGTATCAAACTAGATTAATATGTTTAATATATGATATAGATTATGATTTTTAACGGGTTTAATAACCTTATTTTTTGTAACTTATTATTTATTTAATTAAATAATAATAAAAAGAGATATTTACATAAAGAATAACAAATAAAATTATTAAAGACAGATACTTTTTTTTCAATCTAAACTTCATTTCCTTGTTAATTACAATTGAAATTGGATGTATTAACAAGAAAATAATATTGTACATTATATTATTTAAGAATTATGATGAAATTAAATTGTAATTTAAATATCATTCCAAGTATTTTTTTTAATAATATATCTTAATAAAAATAAAAAAAATATTAAAAAAATAGAAAAGAATCAAATACTCAGGCCAAGGAGATAGGGCGTGAGTGCTTGACTTCTTTTCTTTGTGCAAAGACAAATAAAAGTTGTCTGCACTTTTATTTTTCTTAAAAAGAATTAAAGCATATAATATGCCGTTTTCTTTTCAAGATTTTAGCTATTAGAGAGGTATCTGGAAAATCAAGTTGTTGTTTTTTTGAATCCAAACAACTATTTCTTAAATTTATTTTAATTTTAAAAAAACCTAATAAACATACTTAGAACCTCAACATATTAATTTTTCAGCTTCGAACATCATCTAAATCGGTTCATAAACATGAAACTAAACAAAAAATAAGCTCTCAATCTCGATTTACATTTTTTCAGCAATATAAAAGCTCAAAAATACTTTAACGAGTATACTCTCACCAAGAAAAATATATTACCATAAAATTTGATTTTTTTTGTTCATAAAATCGATAAGTTGTTTTATCTTTCTATCTTTTTTTTTTAATTTTATTTCTCTTGCCTTTTAAATTCAGGATTAAAATGTGAATAAAATAATTTTTTTTACCAAAATATATAATTGTTAAATAAAGAAACCACAATTGAAATTAAAAAAAAACCAGAGTTAAATGAATAATGTTTTTGTTTTTATTTTACTGTTAATTTTGATCCTTCTATTTTTTTAATAAATAATATATATATATATATATATATTTTTTTTTCTAAATCAAGAGCCAATCTAATATCATAATCTTTTTTACACCTTGACATTGCAACAATTTCATAAAAAATAATAAAAATAAACCATTAAATTTAATTTTTAATCAAAACAATTCGAGAGAATGAAATTGAATTGAATTTGTATTTTCAATAATTAAAACAGTATTAAAATCAACAGTATTTACTGATTTATAAATACACAGAAATTACAACCTCTTTTAGATTTTTATTTATTTAATTAAAAGGTCCAAACGTTAAACAATCACGGCATGAGGAAGTTTATACGTGTCCTCCAATTAATTCATGATAAAACTATGATTCTTTCTGCTTGTCAATCGAAGACACTTGGTTAAAATAAAGAAAAATACACGAACACAATTCCTCATAGCCACTTCACCTGCAAGATACAGATCACACAGCATCTATTAATCGTATCTGCTTTCTTCATTCGTGATGTCTATGAACACTTTCTGATATAAAAAAAAAGATGGCCAGGCGATGATGGACAACCCCAGCACCTCAATTACATTAACGGTATAAAAACCAACATCGAATAGCATTCATCACCTAAATGGTGAGCTAAGCTCAAAAGAGTTTCACGTTGCAAAACCGCAGCAATTCGATGGAATTTGCTGGAGTCTATTCCATCTCTATTGTTTAATAATTGGCCCCATTTCTTTACTATGATGATATACTGTTCATGGAAAGAGTTTCTGCCCACCACCTTTCCTCCAGACTCCAAGCCCAGGTAACCCTCCTACTGAGTTACTGCTATCGTCTATCCTGTTCTCCACTGTTTCGCGAGGATCAGGTTCAGAGTTTTGGAGATCCAACAGGGCCGCCATTGAGCCATCACCAAGCCTTGCTCTATGAAACTTGGAGGTTTTCTTCCGTTGCTTCTCGGTACCCCTGTCTTTTAGGTTTTTACTAGATCCATCACCGGCAGATAAAGAGCCATTTTGGATTCTTGGTTCCATTTGCCGCTCATCAAGCACGACATTCGTCTTACCTTTGGCAGCCCGATACCCATCCTTCGATGGCAGCTGCGCCTCATCCTTCACAGGCTTGTAATTTGACTGCAGTGCTCGAACAGTATTAATATAGCTATCTGTCAATCTATCCTTTGAACGGCTATCATTTTCAGCTATTCCCTTGCCTTCCTTGGATCCATTAGTGCCTTTTAACTGGGCACTACCACGGCCCCAGCCATTCTCTTTCTTCCCACTGCTTCTCAAACTCGCATTGTAGGTTTCAACAAGCTCTTTCTGTTTCTGAGCATCAGGACAAAGTCTAGCCAGCTCAGGAATGAAACGTGATAAGCCAAATTGCTGTACATAGTCCAGATACTCTCCTGTGTCAATTGAACCCTGACGATACTGTCCAGATATGTCTTTAAAAAGAGTATATCTATCTTCATCATTTTCAAGAGCAGCACGTATCTTTTCCACCAATGACTTGTTTGCAGTTTGAAATTCTTCCACATTCAGCACAACCTGGCTACTAGTAGGCATCTTGTGCATCGGCACTGCAGAAACTGGAGGAAAATCTGAAATAGAGGGCTTCAACGATCCAGAGTCAGCAAGATTTGAGGCTGATGCAGTACTGCTTATCCTACTTGTAGTGCCTGAGCTCCCCACCAAACCAGCTGAGGGATGCCCACGGACTGCTGCAGGTCGAGTCTGAGCATGGGACTGAATAGAACTTGCATAACTAGAGAGACCAGGTCCACTAGCAGAACTCCTTGAACTCAAAGGTGATGTATCTACTGTAGGCCTATATAGTGCTGGACTACTTGATACACACCTGCGGCTTGCTGCCGGCCACTGCTGGGGTGAGTTGATTACTGTTGCATTTCTGTTGTTCTGGCGCCGAAGATGCGTCACCATTGTATTATTAGGCAAACTTTCTTCATCTTTGGCCTTTTGTTGACCACTGCTTGCAGTCGTAAAGAGCGGAGGAAAGGAAGATTCTTGCAAAGGTGCATTCCTAGAATAAGGCCCCAAGGCTTGAAGATATCTCAATGTTGTTTCAGGATCAGTAGCAGTTAATGATTCAAATGGCTGAACTATTGGATCAATATCACTTAAATCTACATGATCAGAGATCGCTTGTGCACTGGATGATCGATCACGAGATGTGCTTTCTGAATGTGCTGTCTCCAGGCTAGCCAGAATGGCTATGGAGAGTTGGTTATCTGATTGATCACGACGGAATGTTCGTCCCCTTCCATGATGATTATCTTGTTCATTACTTCGACGATATCGAAAGCTAGTTGGTATCTGATTCATGGAAATCAGCAAACGAATAAGACAAAAATAGCCACAAAAAGGTGTACATAAATGAGAGAGCCAAAAAAGAAGTAAGAAGGTGATCAGATATCATCAAGAAAAAACCAAATCCATTAAGGAGCAGTTCTGTAAGTAGAAAATAATATGTACCTGGAGAGCAGCATTTCGCTGAGAACGAGACATATGACCAGCATGTTCAATTGTATTATGTCTCTGAAATTTAAAAACAAAATTAAATGAGTTGAACTGGCCAACAAGCAATAAGAAAGAAAACTAAACCAATAGAGATCCCCAACCCCAATTCTGCCCCCCTGTGCAGCTTGGGGGCGCACACAAAGAA